GCAATTAACGTCAATCATAAAACTTGAGAAGTGGACTACGAAGGCTATAGAGTAAGCTGGGAATTCAGTTTACGAGATTTTTATCCCTAGGTCAAATTGTTAAAACATTTATAATGTTTTATGGATAGAAAAATAACAACTAACTTTTCGTATGGCATATCAAAACTGAATAATGTTTATTTCTAGTCAAACAAGTTTATTTTTAACAAACTTGTATCTAAGCAGGAATATAAAAAAAATTGCACAGAAGGTAACTAATAGGTGTTTATAAAGAAATTTATCTAAATTTATACGTAAATTCAAGCATTTCTAAATTTATTTCATCCATGCGAAGTTTGCTTCCCATTTGACGTAGCAAGAAAGTGTCAAGCTTGTAACTAAATATTTTGGTTATTATTTGACATAATAAAAATGTTCTATCCTATTGTGTCATGTCCTTTGTTAAGAGCTATTTCTGTTATTTTTCCACGAAGGCAGAAAAGCGAAGTAGAACAGAAGATCAACCAGTACAGCTATTGTTTGAACGTACACTTACCAAAACATTATTGTTTTGTGTTACCGTCTGTACTGCGCTGTACACTAAACTATTTTATTGTGCCCTCGTGTGAAACTAGCATAGCGAGTGGTTTGGTTCGTGTAATCGCGTGTTCGCTACCGTTCAACGTGATGCCATAACAAAATACTTTCAACAGACTCGTCTGTTGATTAATTACATCTAAATTGCTATTTAATTACTTCATGTTGGAGACATGTCAAAGCGTGTTACATAATGTTATATTGATTACAGTTTTATTAATATTAATTTGAGTTTTACGTTTATTATTAAATATCATTAAATTGCTCAAATTCTTTTTTTAAAACTTTTTTTTATCTGCAATATTAAACATAGAAGATATCGTAAATTCAATGAAATAAGAAGAATATATTATGTATATTTATCGATATGAAGTTGATAATAAAGGATCATAAAAAGATTCTTATATTCGTTATATCCCATTTCATTATATTTGAAAATTTGAAGAGCTATTGAGTTATCAGGTTTTCCATGTGAATGGATGACAAACGCGCGGAACGGTTGGCTCGCTCTCACCCAAAATCCAACTTATTTCTGAGAACTATTCTCTTCTATTATAAGTATGTTAACATGGCAACAGATATTTAGTAAGAAAATCATTATTTTTAAATACAATAAAGTTTCTCATTGGTATAATAGCTTAGCATTGTTAAAAGAATTTAGAACTTGTATTATATATCTGGATGGAAAAAACTATCCTTTTATCTTTGTTATGTAAACAAGACCCGTACAATCTTTAACAGTCAACCACTAGTTTTTTTTTCATAAGTGATGGGGGCAAAAGGGCCTCGAGTACACAGAGTAGTATCATCGACACCCATGGACATCTGAAACACCAGAGAATATTTACACGAACACAAACACTGGCAGTCAAAACCCTTCGATCTTACTAATATTATAAATGTGAATGTTTGGATGGATGTTTGTTTGAATGTATCAACTAAACGGCGTAACAGATCTCGGTAAAATATGGCATACATGTAGAACATAGTCTAGAATAACAAATGTTAAGTTTTTATTTTGCGCTGACGGAGTCGCTGGCAACAGCTAGTTAGTTATAAGGGGAGAGGAATTATTTTGGTACGAGAAAACATAGATCATAACATACGATATAATTATTTTCAGACAGTTTCTTTTAATAATAATTATACTATTTGTAACATTCTTATAAAATCTTTTTTACTGGTAATATTTTTTTCATTATTTCGAATATTGTGTTTACCAACTCGACGTAAATTGGTTTTGTGGAGGACGTAAAACAATGAATTGTTATTTGCATTTTTTAAAAGCTTCCATGTTTGTATTTCACAACCTTATTTAACATATAAAATGAAATAGCGTTATCAATTATTTATTAGTATATTTAAATGTTTATTATTTTTTTACAAAGACTTTAGTATTTTTATATAATTCTCAATTTTTTTTAGGGTGCTGTAAATAGTGTATAGTAGAAATAATTTCAATTTTTCGAAGTAATGAAAACAGCAAAAGCACCGCGCGACAGCCGGCTGAATTCTCTTAATAATTTTTTTCGAACTTTCAATCACATTACATTATCAAAAAAGGGATAATTAAAATATAAATGATCCAAATTTATTCTACAGACGAGTGTTGAAACTGTGCGAACAGAAGTGACCTGTATTAATAAACTAGTGTACCAACGTCCCACTAACCAGGTCACACGGAGAAAATAACGTTCACAGAGCAACGCGTGACAGTTATAGAGAATTCCTTACATTTTATTGCATTTCACCAATCAATTGTAAGCTTCGCTAATTTATAATTCGCCTAAATATAAAACGCCTAGAAAAATGCTATTTGCAATTTTTCTTAAATAAATTCTTTGAATTGTATTATAACAGGCGTTGTGGTATTTAGTAAAGAGATACTCGAATGGAGAGGTTTTGAATTTTATTAATTATATCCTCTAAGAGTCAAGAAAATTTTATTAAAGGAAAGGAATTATTTATTTTAGCCGCTTTAAAACAATGGTGTCCAATTTAATCTGAAAATTTTAATTTTGTTGTTTAAAGTCTAATTGCTTTTATAACTAAATACCATTATGTAAGTAAATAAAAGTACCAATGACCTAAAACAATTTTAATACTTAACTTAATTTTAAGGAGTTTTTACTGTCATTTGTGCGTCTCATTTTCGTTTAAAAAAATCAGAAATAGTTAACAATAATATGTTTATTTCAGGAGTTTCGTCAGTGAAAACGCAGAGACGATCGTATGACATTACAATTTCACATTCGTTTCGTGATGACGTCACGAGTCGGTACTTAAAATGACAAGAGCCATTGAGTTATCAGCTACTTCCACGTGACTGGATGAGAAACGCGATGGAGGATCGGCACGCCCTCTACCCAATCGGTCCTAATTTCATTACTATTCCTATTCCACTTGTATGTAGGTAGACTATGTCTTTATTACATTTAGAGATTTTTTGTTTTATTCCTTTGAAGTATTTTTTGTACTGATACATTCGAGAGAAATCCTTAGGTCTATATGTTATTTTTGGAACATGTTATTGTTATACTGTTTTCAACCCTAATCATACGTAGAAAAGAAGGATGCTAGGAAACAGTTCCCCTATTATTGTTACCCTGTTTCCTGTAGGGAACTGCATAGCTAATGCTTGAGTTTCAGAAGCCTACCTTTAATTTACTTATTAAAAGATACAAGGTAACAAATTAGAGTAAGTAATTGTTCCACAAAACTGCATATAATTTGACTGGAGAGACAAACGAATAAACAGATCTTCGTTCCTTCCCAATTTGTTATAAAAGAATGAGAAGGGGAAGAGGACTACAATAAGATCTCCGTCAGACTCATTATTACTTGATGCATTCATTTCATCTTCATGCATGTATTTTATAGGGTCGTAGTATTTCCTACAGGCTCGATTTCTCTTTTTTATAGTCTCTATTTGATGTTGTTTTGTGTATAAAAAGTTTGCTAATGTTTTCATTGACGTTGACAACTTGATGTCAAACTTCTTTTCCTTTTTGCTTAATCACTTTTAAAAGATTAAGTTCGTAAGGTTAAGTTTGCATATGAATAAAGGAGGTGAGATATATTAGAGTCAAGCGAGCGAGGTGCATTAATAAAGTAGTGTTGCGTTGTCGAACCAGGTCAGGCGGAAGTTGAAAGAGCAGCCGCGAACAATAGCCGTACCGTCACTTCGTTTAATATATCGCTGTGTTCTTTGTTACACAGTCCAGCTTGAAACCACCTTTTCCGGTTAGGAAATGTTTACTAAAGATAGTTAGCCTTTGTTTTATCTTCATCTAGACAAATAGACAGCTAATGAACAGAAATGATTAAGTTAAATGCATTTATGTCTTCGCTTTACCTCGACGAACGCATTAACTGTATTACGCCAAAAATATATGAAGACAGTGTTTAGTTAAATATGAGTTTTAACTCTTTTTCTGCAGCTGTTATTATGGTCAGTTTTTGTTATAGGTATTGTATTATTTATTGGTTCAGATCACATTTCGCAAGCCTGAATATAATAATGTTTCAATAGTCATTACTTGTTTAAAATCCGCACCGGGCGTTAGAGTCATGCTCATGAAGGGTTCACGTATGTTTAAGCTAAAATGTATTTAAAATATTGTTAAATTGTTTATGGTAGGGCCCTAATTATTTATTTACATACGACAAAGAGGTACATATCGTAAGAGAAACCACAAGTAACTTTATTATTTAAAAAATTGCGTAATTAATTTCCGAATGCATTTTTGCTTACAATATTTTTAAATCTTTTCTAATGTTTTTGTTATTACAATAATACGCGAGTAAATAAATGTAAGTTTATCCTGCAGTACAAATAGAATATTTAGCGAGGCAGCTGATAGCGCCACACTGCGTGTTATCTCGTGTCCGCCATGATAACTATAAATGTGTTTCCGCTATGTATGGTTGTTATTATGGCATTATTACAATTATAACTTTTTTTTTATTTTTTAATTAATTAAACAAATTAAGTTAACATATTTATTGATGTTTCAATATTGCACATATTTTGGGTCATTTCCGTCTTTTTTCTAAAGCGTCTAAAGGAGTATAACTTTTATAACTATCTATTTATGATTCATTCAATAATATTAATAATTTGTTTCAATAAATATGCAGTCGTATGTCGTTTAAAATAGTGACCATCAAGTTCAAACAATTACCAAGCAAACAATGTCGAAACACTACTGTATTTCCAGTAGTGTTGCCGACTTAACGCACAAATGTCCTTTATTTTTTACAGTTAGTTTTTATTGCAAGTCCACTGGTAAACTTCCACTTTTTGTTGTCGTCTAAATCAGTTCAATTATAAAACAACTTTATAAAGGTTGTTTTGTTTTATTTATTTAAAAATGATAAGAAAAATTGTGATATTTGTGTTTTATTTTTGGATTAACAACAATTTTGTATTTGCCAATTATACATTTACATATGATAGTAAGTATTGTTTGATTTTTTTATCATTTAATAATTTAGATAATAGTAAAATGGTTTTAATATTTTTTAGTATTTAAATAATTAATTTTAGAATAATATAATATTTGTCGGTGGCTCAGTGGTCAAGCACTTGACTTGTAATCTGCAGGTCCTGGGTTCGAATCCCGCCATGTACCAATGTGTTTTCGATTTCGATTTCCGATTTACATATGTACAATTATGCGACGTTCTTCCGGTGAAGGAAGACATCGTGATGCAACCTGCACATATCTGAGAAGAAATTCAAAGATATGTATGAAGTCAACCAACCGGCACTAGGCCAGCGTGGTTGACTATGGCCTAATCAACCCTTAACTTAGGGTAGGCTCCGAGCCCTCGGCGGGGACGTATAGTGAGCTGATGATGATGTTAATATTTATAGTCCTACTTAATAGCATGAGAAGTTTTGAAATCGGTGTACTAGTCTTTGACTAAATTCATTACATACTAAATACAAGTCTTTCTTATTTATAATATTAGTATAGATGATAAATTAATACAGATTTTTTAACACTTAAACTCAACGTTTATAAGACTGAACGCCTAGCATGATTATTCGTGAGAAAGTTTTTGCATCATCAGGCGTAAAGTGCACTGACAAATCTCATACGAATTTTGACGCATTTTGTCGATGCCACAAGGCGTGTGTCGCAAATATTCGTGCTAGGCCCTCTGCTTGCGTAACCAATAATAATCCTAGCGTTGAGATGTTGTATAGTAATATTATTGTTCTAGTGGCATTGCGTTGCAAGGAACATATTTGTAAGCACGGCTATGTCTATGAGACTTATTACCGAGTTGATTCGTCGGATCGTCGACATTTAAAAATGGAAGCCGAATTGTTATTCGAGATGCATCTCGCGATACTGGCAGGAAGTAACGGACATATTCTATTATCGACTGTACCTCAGCCGTCAACTAATGATCCTGTATATGAAATAGGTAAGAGTTAGCATTAGCTGCAGCGCGATGGTCCTGAATATCGATTAGTGTTATACAGGCCACAAAGAATTGAGGAGCAATTTCGTCTTTTGTCTCGGGAGTGTGTACAGTGGAGACCGACTCTCATCCTCTTCCTCTTTTTTAATAAACAAAGGTATAAAGACTCGACGATGGGTAAGATTAAATAATAAAGGAATAATGAGGAAACTGGTTATTAAAGAAAATAAATAAGGAAACGATATTTTTTGATAGCTTCAAGGGGATGAATGTGGCATTTTTAGTATAGTAGTAACATAGTAATTTTACAATGTGTTTTATATAATTTCCATTTTTTAATAGTTATCGGAGGAGGTAGCAACAGATTTACGGAACTTCGTCGCAATCTAAGAAGAAATGCTCGAGCATCCTCGAAGACTGTTGGCATATTGTCAGCCATCGAGTTTCGACCGTTTTACATTAAAGTTTACAAAGGTAACATTATTTATGAAAAAAAGTGATTGTCTGTATGGTTATTACATACGTTATAGAAGGTGGTAAATACGTAGTAAATATAAGGTGGTAATGCAAATATAGCTAAAATAGCAAATGCGTTTCCATTCTTAAATTGATAAAATATAGGATTTATAGTAAAAACATAGTACCTATAATATAGTACATCCACTCGCCCACGACATTTACTTAAAAGAAACTTCAAATCTGTGCAACATATATTATGTTTGTATATCGACTCGAAAGAGACTTCAAATCTGTGCATTTTGATATATTATGTTTGTATATCGTATATATTTAATATTAAAATTAAAATAAATTAAATATATATTTGTTAACAGATGGTTTGATAGAATTTGGCAAAGAGAATGAAGTATTGCCGGTGCTAAGTTATTTCGATACGAACCCCTTACCAGTTAAATACTTTAGTTTCGCTGCGTGGAATGGAGTCGAAGCTAAATTTTTATATGACTGTCCAGCACCGGGGAGCAATGATACAACAGGTTAGTTTCTTAAATCTCTGTGGCTAGACATTTAGAGAAAAAAATTGGAATTCCATCCATATGTTTCCTTTTGCAAGAGATAGAGATAAATTGTGCAAGCAAGAGTTTGTTTGTGAAGGCTATAATCAATTTGTAAAGAGGGAATAATTAGAAATACTATATTTTTTGCAGCGACATCTAATTCAGAAGCTGTAGAGCGTAATGAGACGAGTTCGGATAGTTTGAAGACATCGTTACTGATGGGACGAATGCCCAATATACCGCCGACTCAACGAATGAATGTAAAACTCGGAATCAAAGTAACGAGTTTGTTTTACAATGCGTTAGATGCGAAGTTAACAACTGGATTATCTGTATTCATGGTATGATTTACGTTTATAATCTTATACTTAATATTAATTCCAATAATAAGTAGTAAACTAATTTAAATACTGTTTGCAATATTTTATTTTCTATTATAGAATTTACTATTTTGGAATCATGAAAAATATAGATCACTACTAGCTATCACCCGCGGCTCCGTCCGCGCGAAATAAAAAAATAACAATGTTTTCTTCCCGACTTTTTTCTATATGTATGCCAATTTCATCGAGTTCCGTACAGCCGTTCTGGTTATATTTAAAAACAAACATTCGCATTTAAAATGTTAGTATGAAGTAAGATGGAGATAGGACTTTAGTTCTAGGTTTTACCAATATTTTAACAACTTTGTAATCGTTAACAGAGTTGGATGGACGACAGCATGGCGTGGAATCCTAGCAAGTTTAATGGCACTACAAGTTTGACATTTCGTCAGGGACAAATCTGGAGGCCGACATTCTTCGTTTTCAAGTAAACTACATATGTATTCATTTAATTTTTGACATGTGTTGCATGAATAATTTGCCTAATAAAAGTTACAAAACTAATTTAAGACTAATATTATTATTTAATAATAATATCGTGATCTACGAGTTTAAGACATATTAATAGCGCCATCTATTGTTAACACGGCAGAATCATCTTATTTTTTTCAGTTCTGATGACTTAGGCATGCTAGACACAAGTAACCCTGATCATATATGGATGGTATACAGCGGGGAAGCTGTATTTCATTTCCAAACGACGATAAACACGTGGTGTGTGGATTATTCGACTAATTTGAATAGGTAGGAAAAATATATATGAAATCACCAAAGCTGTAAAATAAAAAGTTTCTGATAATTTAGTAGTATTACAGGTGGCCTCGCGATGAATACAATTGCTCTATAGTAATTCAGCCATGGGACACGTATGAGCAAATATTTCTTAGCATTCCAAAGTTAGAAGAAATGGAAGGGGTAAGTTATTTCAACTATCAAGCGTGTAAGTAAGAATCTAGATAAAGTAACATTCAGAAAGAAATGTCTCCAGAAAGACCAAAATGTTGCCATTTTAAGGGTCTCGTTCAAAGGAAAAAACGGAACCCGTATAGGATCACTCTGTTGTTTGTTCGTCTGTCTGTCAAGATCCTTTTTTAGGAATACGTTGAGGAATCAAACTGGAATTAATTTAAAACTTGCATTAGTTTTCAGTATCTCTTTTGAAATTTGTTTTAGCGATGTATTATCGAATTTAGCTTCACTAAAATCACTTGCTTTATGACTGACTGCAAATTTAATTCTGATTGATGCAATTAAAACAGTTTACAGATATAGACGATGTGATACAAAATGAATGGGAACTTGATATACAACAGTACGTGCTATCAGCACAGGCCTGGAACATAGGTGCAACCATGGAAAACGGCGCAAACGATAGTACGACGAGTGACAGGTTGATCATCAAGATGAATCTGAAGAGACGAGCTTCGTCTTATAATATTGTGTTTTACACACCTCTATTGGGTGAGAATTTTTAATTCATTTTATAGTTTTTGTACGCTACGTTTTCACTAAACATTTGTTGATTTTAGTATGAAAATAAAATGTTAGTGGATACAGCTTTTAATTAGCAATACTATCAGGATCTAGGACGTAATAGAAAGTATTTAGGACGTTTTGCAATTTTATAATAATAATATGAAATGTTTTTATTTGAAATTTCAGTGTTGGCAACATTCGTTCTAATGTCATTTTGGTCCGAGCGGCTGAAAATGGATCGTGTGTGGTTTTACGCGGGAACAACGATCGTCATTTGCATGGGACTTTGTTATATCGACTATTTAGTACCATGCCACACTATTCCTACAATATGTAAGTATACTAATATGCAGCATAAATAATAACGATAACATTTCCTAATAGCCTACCAGGAAAACTGTGAGAAGTATTCGTAACGCCATAGACAAAATTTGTAGTAAATTTGTACCACCGTATCGGGCGTAAAGAACAACGACAAATCTCATACTGATATATTTTTTCGATTATGTTACGAAAACGGATATCGTAACTATTCGTGATAGACACTAAGTTCTTTGTGAACTAGAATGCTTAAAAGTTAAAAGGTTTCCAACTATGTACAAAAAAAAATTATAACTTTGAAATCGTATCGCGAACCTCCCAAAAAACATCATTAGGAATAACGACATCTTTTTAAAATACTCGTAACTAAACTTTTATTTGTTTTATTTCCAGTGGTGTTGTACACGACTGTACTTGTCGGCGCATTGATAGCGACATTCCTACACGTGCTGTTGATGACGGAAATGGCTGATAGGATTTGCAAGAAGCCATTCATAAGTACTATTTTACTTCAACGATGGCTAAGAATATTATTTTGTCTACCTGAAATTAAGGTACCTTCACCTTTTGTACCATCTTTCCATATTTGTTGCATTCTAAGACGTCGAACGGTTACCTAAACAGTTAATAAGTGTAGATTCATATTCTAATTCTACGCTATGTGTAAACTCACAACAAATAAACCACTTTGAGTTCGACTATTGAATGTTATTTTTGATTTCATCATACACACATCCAGTAAGGTCATTTTTTTATATCATAAGGTGGCAAACGAGCGAGCGACCACCTGTAATCGCTGAAATAGCGAAGTGACCGTTGCCCATAGACATATGCAATTGCGTATGCGTTGCCTACCTTCAATCGACGGTGGAGAGGATGCACAGAAAGAAAAAATAGAATCATGGGCGTAGATATGTGAAAGTGTTAATCATGAATTTATATAATTTCCAGTTGTGCCGAATCTACGAAACTCTTGGCGAGAGTAACTTGATGTCGGAAGAAGATTGTGATTCAGGGGTCAGTCTCGCGCCTAGATTGGGCAACGTTGAAGAAATGCAGTCAGACAATATAGAGTTTAATGCAAGACGAGAAATAGCAGAGGTGTTCGATAAAACTATGTTCTTTGTTTATTCTATAACTTTTTCTGTAATGCTCATTTTACATTATTAATAAATATTTTAGTTAGTTATTTATTGGTCTTTAGTTTGATTATATTCATTTTGTTGACAAATTTTACAAATATATTCAATATATGAGAGATGTCTCACGTACGAATTGTCATCGCGTCCATATTGCAATGTAATTTTGCGATACGCGGCTTTGTAACGTTATCAATCAAAATATTAAAATTTATGCAGTGCCCCCACCGGATGTAAAGAACACTAACAAATCTAAAATAATTTTTGACATATTTTCGATGATACGAACGCGTGTGTCGCAATTATTCGTGCTACACCCTCAAAGAGGTCAGATAAAATCCATTCGTTTCGAAGCAATTCAATAGCGAACTTCAAGAATGTATGGAACTTACGCGCGACAATCACGTGACTTATCGAAAATTATTGTCAGTTTCCATTGATAGTTATGGAATCGCTTCGGTCCGAATACACTTTGTCTAAACCCCAGATCTGTGAGTTTCCAGAGACCTTGACAAAGCACTTTAACAAAATTATTTTGTCATCGCTCTCATTGTCTTTTAAAAAGAATAGGATGACAATATGTTTTTATATGTATTTCGGCCGCAGATATTCATGGTTAGAATGTCTCTCACATGTCTTTTAGCAAATAAAAAAATAAAATATGTGTATAAAATAATAAACGTTATAATAAGTGCTTTTATAATAAATACTTTAATTTTCCTTTGAGCTATTATAATAACTTGAAAAAGCTTCTCATTTTATACGAAAATATCCTTTCCGTGAGCCGGGAACCCCCACAAGGCAAGGTCAAACATTTATGCAATAAAGGACTCATTGTTAAAATAAAATAAAAACATTGGCTTAAAAAGTTAGCCGCGAATCCTCATTACTGATTTTTTAGACGCAGTTTTATTTTAATGTATATTTTTTAACAACGCCTATTGTTCTTTGAAATATAAATAAAGTATTGTTTCCGTAAAAAAGGAAGGAATAAAAGAAAAAAGTTTATTCTCATGTGTTATTATTAAACAATATATTTATTAAAATACAATTTGGCTGTGACTTCGACTCGCTCATACGTCCCTAGCGAGTGGCTCGGAGCCTACCCTAAATCAAGTGTGACCAGGCCATAGTCAACCACGCTGGCCAAGTGCGGGTTGGTTGACTTCACACATATCTTTGAATTTCTTCTCAGACATGTGCAGGTTGCATCACGATGTTTTCCTTCACCGTAAGATCGTCGAATAAATGTATAATACATATGTAAATCGGAAATCGAAAAACACATTGGTACATGTAGGGATTCGAACCCAGGACCTACAGATTGCAAGTCAAGTGCTTGACACCTGAGCCACCGACGCTCCAAAATGACTTCGACTCCGAGGTATAAAAAATCTAGTAATAAATAATATAGTCTATATCATCCCTGGATAGTGTAGCTTCACAGCAGTAAAAGGATGTTTCAAATCGGTTCAGTAATTTCGAAGCCCATTCAATGCAAACGAACAATCAAATAATTTCTCTTTATAATAATAGTATTGATTTCATTGGCTACTTATTTATGTTGTGTTCATTTTATTTATTATTAATTATAAATGTAAATGTAAAATAGTTACGGACAGAAATAATTTTACATGAAGTCATTAAAGATGAAAAAAAACATGAATTTGACAAAGCCGTTATTTCCAGTGTCGAACTACATTATTGGTAGTACAGTTAGCTTAAATATGTCACAATTTATACTAGGACTGTAAATATAAAAGACTATTCATTATGCTTTACATCGAAAGTTGTAACAATTTAAATTTACATACGATTCGATGCGGGTCCAAATTTCAGCGCCGTCAGTAACTCTCATCGAGAAATCGTTTTAAAATTCAATATGCGTCGACCGCAGTTAAAAAATTCAATAGTATTGAAGTACTGCCATGTCCACTTGTTAGGACGATCGTTAAGCCAAACAATTTTCAACAACCCCTACTACGGTAAGCGCAACAATGGCAGAGCCCGCTTTCACATCTTCACACGAATTGGCTATTGCAGCGGTTTTAGGTGGCCGCTGGCTCGTTAGCCACATTATAATATAAAAAAAAAATTGCAATCGCAATAATCCCAGCAACAATATTTTATCATCTTTGTTACAATAATCTTATTTGCTATATACAATTGTTTATGTTGAGTTTTAAATGAGCCAAAAGAATGGATAAACTAATGGATTATTAAATGATAAACAAATTCGATATTGCTACTTCCAAGCGAAATAAAAGATTTTGATAGAGCAATTAAATTCGCACGAAGTAATCAATTTGGTTGCAATAAATTGTAACAATTCGAAATGAGTTCGAATCGACTTACAATAGTAGTCGCGGTTTGTTAGTTTCGCTTGTATCAGATTGGAGGCTAAAAATATCTCACCATTTTTCACAGATCCCAATAACGAATGAAATTTTTATACATCACTTGACAACAGTTTCACTTTGCATCCGATAGTTACAAATTAATTCTACAAGCTTATATTCTAAATATAGTCGAACTATAATATAAAGAGAATGCCCTTTATATTTACTTACAATGTAGTTCATAAAAATCTACTAACTCAGCACATATTTTCCCGACGCAACTCATAAAACTGAGCCACATTAACTGCCGTCCACACTCATAAAACTAAGCTACTATATGTGCTATTTAAACATATTACCATAACAACATAAATATATTTATTATGTTTAAAGATTTAAGATGTGTTGATATAAATTTTGTATATTAATTAAACCGGGATAAAATTAAAATATAGAAATTCTCTCGATGATTCGTTCCCTAACCGTGGGTTTCTGAGACTAAAAATCCCCGTTTAAAATATATTTTTAGTATCAGAAACCCACAGTAAGTAATGATTAGGTATGGATGATAATCGATATCCTTTCCTCTTATGTATTACGGTACAATAAACCTTAGTTTTACATTTAAAAAACATTGTTATTTCTAGCGGAAGATTAATCGTTTTTCAAATCATCCCATCACACGGGACAGCTCATAAAAATGTCAAATAACGTTGTGTTCGGGCATATAAAGCTTATGATGTAATAACTCATTTAGCAGAAGGCGCGTAACGAAGTTATGTCGTTTGTTAAATGGCTAAATGATACTAACATACCGTGAGTTTGTGATAGCCAAAATCTCTGTATAAAAATATCATCATCTCTGTCATTATCTTTGAAAAAAATAGAGAAAGCTATTGTTTTCAACGGAGATTTCGGTTTCAGAAACTCTCGGTTATTGCGTTTATGTTTTCATATTATATTTGTTGACATATATGGGTATTATTTTGGCTGATGATATTTATATAATAAGCTATAAAAAAAGAAACTATATTTGAAATCCGGTTCAAAGCAGTACAATCGAGATGGAGGACAATAGAAAAGTCGGGTAGCGGTGATTTTGCTTTGCTAACTAATCCTCATATCTTATCATTACTTCTGTAAATATGCATTACTTGTGTACTCGTGTTATCCCACTTGAAATGATTGACAATAATAATTGTTATCGTTTGTGGAATCGTTACAATCGCAAAATAATAAACATTAAAGTCTACGAACCCCAATAAGACAATAAAGTATACCATTTTTTTCCGATTAGCAATTATGTTTTAAATTAATTTGTTATTTAAATTATAACTGTATTTTATTTTAATTGTGTTAGATTAGTAAGCAAATGTAAATTGATTTGTAAAAAAAAGAAAGTAATTGACATCATCACGCCAGGGAGAGCATAGCGCCTCCCCCCAAAACAAACAATATGTCCTTGAAAGCGCGATCGACTAACACGGCTATAGCTAATAGGCTACCCCGACTAGGGTAGTAGTACTGAGGTAGTGTGGAAGTTGAAGTAGTGTTAGGACTGATAATCGGAGATATACTACAAGGTCATTATAATGAGTCATATTATTCTGAACGAATAGTAGGATTTAACGACTTATTTTAAACACAAACACTCGTATATTGGTCATTAACTTTTGCGATTAACGAAAGGACGATGGTACTTGATTATGATAACATGTCTTTATATGCGATGTTTGTGTGATACCCTTAGTTGTGTGCTGGTACCAATCGATTTATTTACATGTGTCGTGTATTTTTACAATGAATTTAAAATGTATTTTTACATTTATATTATTAACTGTGAGCACAAATATTGTTATAGCACGTGATAGTAAGTTTGTTATTAGTTTACTTGTTTAATTATTGTGAGATGTTACTAAGAACGTGTAGTTAATTTAAAAAAGAATCATAAATTGAACTACACAATAGACCACCGTATTTGAATAAGTGGATATTATTTTCAGAGCTGGTACTATGTTACTATGGAACCTGGTCAACTTATCGGCCGAGTTTGGGCAAATTCGACGTCGAAAATATTGAACCCAATTTATGCACTCATCTCGTTTACTCGTTCGTCGGTATCAACACGCAAGGAACGGTGATATCTCTAGATCCGTACTTAGATTTACCAGATAATTGGGGTAGAGGTAAGAGACAATATATATTTTTTATTTCCTCTATCACTTTAATTCTTCTCTCAATTAATCTATCTTTATTAATAAAGAATTTGTATTTTAACAGACAACTTTGCCAAATTCAACGCATTGAAAAATGGCCGACCTAATCTTAAAACTCTTTTGGCTGTTGGAGGATGGAATGAAGGATCAGCGAAATACTCAAGAGTAAGTGTAAAACAAATGCTAAAAATTTGCAAAAACTCACTAGACGACAAAATTGAGGGCAAAAACATGAAAATTAAAGACTAAATAAAACAAGGGCGCGACGGTTCTTGTCTACTACGTGTTTATAGTTTTCTAATTCTAAGTTAATTTAGGCTTTGGATAGGCAATATGGGTGTACGATTTTTAACAAATCTGAATCTGATATATTTAAAAGTTGATTAGTTAACGTTAACAATTTTCATGTTCAAGATGGTGGCTAGCTCGATATTACGAAGGAATTTTATAACGAGCGCTATAAAAATGATGCGAGATTACGGTTTCGATGGCTTGAACTTAGACTGGGAGTATCCTAACAGACGGGACACGGTAAACGGACCTGCTGATATACAGAACTTCGTACAATTGCTTAAAGAACTTAGAACAGAGTTTGATAAACATGGATTTGAGCTGAGCGCAGCTGTGGCTGCAGTAGAAGCAGTTGCAGTCCAGGCGTACGATATACCTGGTATTAGCAAGTAAGTAATTAAATTCACAGTCAAATCACATTCTTTTAATTAGCTTAGCGTAATTAAGAGATCCTATATTGGTATGAAACATGAAAAATAGAAAAGAAATTCATAAAGACTGAACTAAAACACTACTAATCACCAACATAAACATAAGCAATCTGTTAAAACAACAAATAAATATAACTTAAATTAAAGAATATAACACTTCTAGTAATTTATAGCGATGATACTTGACAAAATATGAAGATCCAGAAGTGAGAAATTTTATCCACCTATTTAAACTTCAATCATAATTGATTCTTTGGTTTCCAGATATTTGGACCACATTGGTTTAATGACGTATGATTTGTATGGCCCCTGGGACCCAGTAACCGGTCATAACTCACCGCTTCACAAGGGAGAAGGAGATGGGAACATTCCGAGAGAACAGTTGTATACTGTTGATGTTGCCCTGGAATATTGGATCAAAAGTGGTAAAATTAAAATTGAATATCTGTCCCTTTTCATCTAAAGCCTTAAGGTAACAGATAGAAATTCCATATATGACAGCCAATACGATATATATTCTTTAGATATTGTGTTTAAATTGAGAGATAAAATGAAGCGGTAATGCGAAATAAGTGTACTTTATGTTATGAGAGAAAAAAAGTTTCACCAGAAATATAATATTTTGGAATATTCGAATTTTAGCGTCAAGTGCATTTTGTCTATGCCTTATGGTTTGGATTGGCACCTAGTATATTATGTGGAAGTTATATTTATATTCTGTTTTTTCAGGATGCCCGCCTGACAAGATAATCCTCGGTCTACCTCTCTACGGACATACATTCACTTTGACCAATGCAGGCGCTAGTGGTGTTCGAGCTCCAACTAATGGTGCGGGAATAGCTGGCCCTTATACATCGACAAATGGCATTATTGGATACAATGAGGTACATGAAAATTAAGAGATATGTTTGGAATTATTCTGCAAAAACCGTACCAGTAACATCTCAGATAGTTGAATCATTTCATATTATTTTTTATTCGTAAGCTTCGAAGCTTATTGACTTATTTACCTGCTGCTTATTTACCTTACATTTTACCTTATTACAGTTTTGCACCAAATTACAAAGAGAGACTTGGAATGTTCGATATGATAACCTAGCGAAGGTTCCTTACGCTGTACAAAATAAAAACTGGGTGTCATATGATGATGCTAGTTCACTAACAGCAAAAGTTGAATATGGTTTGAGCAAAAACATCGGCGGCATTATGGTCTGGAGTATTGAAACTGATGATTTTAGAAACGTTTGTGGTAATGGAAGATATCCTTTGCTGAATGCTATTAATAGGGCATTAGGAAAAGTTGTTACAACTACTACTACAACTTCTAGACCTACTACGACAACTGTCTCCACTACGACCAAAGGTATTTATGGTTTTTTTTTATATCATGAAGGTGGCAAAAAAGCGAGCGGTCACCTGAAATCGCTGAAATAGCGAGTGACCGTTGCCCATAGACTTACGCAACCGCATATGCGTTGCCTACCTTAAATCGACAGAGGAGAGGATGCACAGAAAGAAAACATCTTGGTTGTTCTTTATGTATGTTCATTTTATTGTAGATTTAAGTTGTTATAAGGTTAATATTTTAAACCGAATGACCCACTCCATCCTTTCCTTATAAGAAATGGATGACAGGGAAAAGAGGAGTAAAATTTGGCCTCCGGAACGCACACTCATCTGACGAAATGCGGATTTGCTTCTATTACACTCCGGTCTTCTGTGTAGTTTTTGATATTCCATTAGTCTAGCTAGTCTTTGTAGGTTTTTACTAATTTATGTCTGGGTCAATATTAGTCTTCGTTAATTTTGTTATTCAATTATTTTTTTTTATTTCCAGCTCCAAATACTCCATCAGAAAGTGTGTGTAAATCCGAAGGACCGACAGCGGATCCAACGGACTGTACTTCGTTCTATATTTGCACTGTAGATCCCAGTGGTAAATTCATACCACACAAGTTCAAATGTCCGAGCAACCTCCATTGGGATAGCAAGAACCTTTACTGTAACTATCCAGAGCTTGTTGAATGTAACATTCAATAAGTATGTATTTATTTATCAAATAAAAGATATTCCATTATTTTCAGTCGTTTATTTCCAAGTGTTTTAACAAATTTGGATAGTTATAAGGGTGTTGAAAGTGTGAAGAAAGTATAGATGGACTGTGTGAAAGATATGTAAGGTGAATTAAACCATTCGTGAATTCCCACAAATTAAACAAAAGAAATATTTTCGTATAGGCTAAAAATGTGTGCGAGAAGTTAGGAGACATTTTTTAAAGTTTCGTATAAACGTGTTGTTGGCGCTCTTAAAATATTACCAAAAACGTTTTTCCGTTAGCCTAAAATGCAATATTCCTTTTATAGGTTTTTCACGAATTTATTAACAAAAACAATACGACATAACACAACACTATTTTACTATTATTTTCATTTACACAACGATTGAATTAAAAAATATTCAAACATCCATAGTATCCTAATTCATATTTAAACTATAATATGTTATTTTGGATGGATTCTGTGAAAAAGAATATGAGTAAGATCGAGGTAGATTCAGATATGACGGCAGATAGAGATGTATGGAAGAGTAGTACATACTGGGTCGACCTTCAGCGGAGAAAAGACCTTAATGGTAATGAGGTAATATATAGGTGTTTTATTTGCACCATGTACCTATGAAGGTAAAATAATTAAAATAATAATTTTAGTTATAACTTAATCCTAATTTAGCTTTTATACAGAAATTATCTTAGGATAAAAATTCGAAACATACAATAGTGTTTGTAATACAAAATGTAAGAAAATAATGAAAAACAAAAATTAAATCCGAGCAAGTAGGTCAGGCAGTCGAGTGGGTGCAGTCTCCTAGCGACTCATGAATTGCACTCAGCTCGCGAATGCTTACCAGCTATCCTACAGTCGACAGAATGAAATAAATAATCTTAAGTAATATAAAACAAAAGAAAATATCGGTAACTTAGCAGTCAAATGTACGAAGCATTTGTTTGCTCAATATTTTATTTATTGAACAACTTTTACACTTTAATGTGGCAGTCTCTTTCTCTATGTATTGAAAAGTTGTAAACAATATGTAACTGAAGAGAAGACTGAAATAAATTTCGTGTGGACTTTGTAAAGGATAATAATTCAGAAGGTGAACATATGTTCACATGACCTACAGCGACGCGGGCAGAACTTCAGCGAGACCGGAATTAATACATAATATCGTCTATTTTACTATCTTTGACAAAACAAAGACTATTCTATACAATTGATAAAATTTGAGTGTATGTAATATCGAGAAGAAATCCTTATTCCTACATGTGATGAATTTGATTTGCTAACAACGAAAAACCAATTTCAAGAGTTTTTGTTTTTAAGTCAGTCCACAAGTCGGCGTTTGATCCGGGCTATTTCCAAAAAGTCTGAACCGATTTTGACTGGACCTTGACAGTAAGGTAGAGAATGCATGTGGGCATATTATAGATCGCTTTTTTCATGCGCTGATAAAGTCGCGGGCGACCGCTATAATGCTTACCAAAGACACTGCAGTTCATCTTAAGTTGCTCGTCAAAAAACGATACATACTATATAAATTAACTTTAAAATATTTAAGTTCAGGGACGTATAATATTTTTCAAGAAAAACCGTGAGCGTTATAACTAAAAGAATTCGTGAAAGAATTCACAAAGAGTTTTGTTTGTGGTGCATGTATAGGTGGAGTTGGAGTGTCGCGTGACAATTTGCCTTTCGTTAATACCTTAGCGTTGAATGCCTTTCGCAGCAGTAGCCAACAACAAGTATTTGTTACACACTTGTATACGAACAATATTGCTGTCTCTATTTTGTTTTATAGTAAGAGAGAGATGTAAATATTGTAATAGGAGTGTTATAACAGTGAAGATTCACCTTTAGTGCACACTTCGTATCAAAATTTTAGGTCACCTATCCTTATTTTTAGTAATGAGATTTGTTTAATATGTTCTTTGGTTTTTGTGGGATGGTATAAAATAAAATTGTGCAATTTATATGTCCCTTAATTTAGGTTGAGACTAAATATTAGGAAGATGATCTAATTTTTTATTGACAAATCTTTCAAAGATTACCTACTTAATGGAAAAATGCCCACAGTGATTTTTACGAAATTACTTTCAAAGATGTTGCTAAATGTTCTTACTAATGCGAGTGTTAAGATGGATGGATGTTTGAAGGTATCTCTAGAACTGCTGAACGGATCTCAATGAAAGTTTGAATACATATAGAACATAGTCTGGAAGAACACATTAACTACGTTTTAATTTAGAACTTGTATTTTTATTCAGGAACAATATTCAAATAAGCAAGTTCGTCGGTTAACAGTGTAAACACACGGGAGGGAATATCTTTTTTATTAACATACAGTTTGGCATCACATATGGAATTGGTTATACTAGTTTCTATTTCAGCAATAACGTTCCAATAGATGCTATACTCATATTTTTTAATTCTTTTTTCTGCTGTGAAAGGCAAAATTTAATGGAATTTAACGTCAAAATAATTATATTCTGTATCTGATCATAAGTGTAGCTTGATGATTAACGTGTGAACAGGACCTTATTTAATTTCCATACATATTTTACTTACATTTAATTTAAATTAATTACTAATTTATTTTAAACAATTAATATAAGTGTTAATTTTACATTAGTTTTAAAAATGAAAGTATGTTTTAATGTAACATCAATAAATTCAAGTTACATACCAACAATTTGGTTTCTCGAAGTATTTCCAACGAACGTTTTAAAAGAAAGAATATGGAGAGTACATTTTTAGGGAGCATGTTTTTCCGTGTGCTGGTATGTCCTTGCTTCGCTTGTAACGTCCCGGTAATAATTTAGGAGCAACGAGTCCGTCCTTTCAAATATGTTGAAAAACTTTGACTTTTGAAAGACAGGACCTGACAATCGCGCGCATTTCTCTCTGTTACATTAAACTAATAATAAGTTTCTAACTTGCTTGTGTACTCGTTTTGTGTGTGTAAATTTTTGAGTCAGTATGTGTTCAAAAAAAAGTAAGTATGAACGTGATACATGTTCACGAAAAGTGGCAGAATTTATTTCGTACAACGTTGACTCTATGCCTAGTCCGTTTCTCTATAGTCAAAGATTTAAAGCTACGAGTGCGTCCGTTCAAATATGGTGAAAAATGTCGCCGCTGGCCACATGCGCTTTGCGGCCTATACGCGAACACGCGTTGTTTTTTATTCAATTTGCGCAACGGAATGGTGACGGTAAAGTGAAATGAAATTTCGTGGTATCGGAAATTTTACTTTTATCCTACTTTTTCTATCGCTTGATATGTATCTTTGTAATATGGACAAAACGGCTTAAATTTAAAAGAACATCTGTCTGTCTGTTGAATGGAGTCCAAAGCTATATTCCTTTTGTTTTTTTATTTTATTTGCTAACCTCTGACTTACGGTAGACTCTGAGTGCCAAAGTAAGGACATACATATATTATAAAACTTATTAACACTTTTAGACATCACTATTTACCGCACTAAGAGTCAATAAATGATCTACCTTAGTGTGCACTTAGTATGAGAAATATATTATACAAAGGGTGACTACACTTAAAACAAGCGAAGTCATAGACAATGACTTGTGTTTCATAATCTATATTGTTTGCAAACCATGTTAGTCCTTAGGTCATGTTGCGCGGACGTTGCTATATTGCGTTAATAATTTGAGCTCGCCATATAAACGCCAGTGGCTGGGCATTCCATGTGGCTTTTTATTTAAATTCCACTGCCGAAACACAGACATATGTTTAAAAAAAACATGATGGTTAAAAATACCAGCTTAAAACATATACTCTAAAAAATTATTTATTGAGGTTGACTATCATCAATACGATTGACCTTAGTTTTGAGACCAAAACCTCCGTTTAAAACATATTGTTATCTCTGTGTTGTCAAAGATAATGGTACGACAGGATGACGATATGTTTATAGAGATTTTGGTCTCAGAAACTCACAGTAAGTCGTTTGAAATGTAGTACTATATATGTTGCTACTTATAGATTACCTAATATTATAAAAATTAAGTCAAAACATGAAGGTGTTTAAAACCCTGTTAGCCTACCCCATAGGCTTGGTATATACTCATGTGAATACTTAATAATATCACGAAAACATTCACCAATTGTTTGATAGCACAATAAGATATCAACAAAAGCTTTTAAGGTTTTAATTACGAACCTTTATAGAATTGGATATTGCCAGTACGCGACTACAATTGATTAAACAAAACAAAAAGGTCTATTGTTAACCAAATGCTAATAAATATTTATAAAGGTTATATTTAAAATATAGTGACTGAATCAGACATGCGTTACAATGCCAAAGACAAGTCATAATGAAACCCCTAATTTAGGGTAGGCTCCGAACTCGTCAGTGGGGACGTATAGTGAGCTGATGCTGCAAAATTTGTCCAGGCTATGCATATAGGATATTATGTATTTTAATAAGAAAGTATAGTTTGCAAAGATATCAGAAAGTATAGTAAATAACATGCATATAAAATATTTTAATCAATAATATAGAAAATGTTTTTTTTTTTAACTCATAAAGTCACTACAATGCTTCAAAACGTTGGTCAAATTGTGTTGTGATATTAAAATTTTAACAATTGTAATTCGTTTTTAAATAACATTGCGCAATATGTAAGGGATTTACAATCCAAGTATTATATATATATATATATATATATATATATATATATATATATATATATATATATATATATATATATATATCAATAAGATTGTAAAGTCGGCGTTATTGATTGTGTTCTCGAGTTTACGATAGTACTCGACTACTTAATATTAAGTACGTAGCTTTCTATTGTCTTACTAATATTATAAATGTCAATGTTTAGTTGGATGTATGGATGTTTGTTTAAATGACGACTGGACGGATCTCACTGGCAATTTGGCAAAGATGTAGAACATAGTCTAGAATAACACATATGTTGCTTATTAACTTTTTTTAATTCCGTGCAGACGAAGTCGCGTGCGACAACTAATAA